CTAACCTGTCCACGTCTCTAACCTGTCCTCGTCTCTAACCTGTCCTCGTCCCAGCAGGTTTGGTTTCAGAACAGAAGAGCCAAACAGCGGAAGCAGGAGCGGTCCTCCCACAAACTTCTCCCAGTGGGTGTGATGCCGGGCCACAGGGCGCTGCTGGGCGGCATGCACGTCCAGCCGCCCGGCATGACTCGGCAGTACTACACCCAGCCGCTGGCTCACATCCCCTGCCTCCCCCCCCATGCTGTCCTCTGGGGCGTACTCCCGCCCCTCGGGCCCGGTGGGCTCGTGCCCCTGCCCCAGCGTCCCGCCACAGCCCGAGGACTGGTACAGCCCGCTGAGGAGCGGCCTCGCCTCGCCCATGTTCTCTCTGGCCCCCATGCAGCCTCTGGACCCCGCCTCGCACTGGAGCTAAGAGGAACAGAGGCCAATTTAAAAAAAGAAAATCGAGTGATCATGCACGGCCAATTTGTCTTCCATTCACACGCACATTGGTACTCATTTTGTGACTGTCCAGATACAGAGGACAGATTTAAAGCAACCCTATTCTTAACATCGTTTCTTCTCCTACATCCACTAACATTGATGCTGATGACACCGAGTGCTCTGTGGGGCGGTCTCACAAGCGCATACTTGGTCGTTTCTTCATTACAATTTAAAGCAAAGTCAAAATGTTTTGTCTTTTATCTGCTGCATGTGTACAATCCTACTCGCTTTAGGGGCAATGTCGATTTACGCAATTTATATCACTGTACAAAAACCTTTTTCAGTACATCTAAAAAATAAAGATTACAAATCTTTTTCTTCCTCCCAATGCCTTTAAGAAGTGATTTCATGAATGCAACGTGGCAGGACATCACACACCACAACCCATTACAATAAAAACATCACAATCTGTAGATTACACTTTTTAATATCTCACATTCCACAAACAACGCAGTTGCATCTGTTTTGCTTTCAGTTTTTTTCCCCTTCATGATAATCAACAACCTGAACTGATTGAAGAATCAAGGATGGCAAAAATATGGAATTCATCCATCCGTCATACAGAGATGGATTCAACAAACACAGAAGAGACCAGACACGTTTGATCCGTTTTAAAAAGGCAGCTAATGATTTGAAGCCAACGGTTGTCGAGGTTTACGACACGAAGCTGAGTCAGCTTATTAAACGACTGCAGTGGTGTGCTTTCCAGTCAAGCTTATCCAGTGATCACGAGTCAGCGGCGCGGCTTTACATTCACTCTGACGTCAGATTCATGTCGCGGCTCAGCTGGCTCGCAGGCGACAGTGAAGACGGCGGCGATTTGGCTCGAATAAATGTGGTAATCTTCACAAACGACATTCAACGGTGCATTGTTTTGCCCGCCACCTCAAAAACAAAACTTCTTCCCCACACACACACACACACACACACACACACACACACACACACACACACACGCTACTGTACAGCTGAGCAAGTCAAGGCCACTTTACCGTTATCACATCAAAAACAATGAAATGGATTGACAGAGGGAATGGGTTGGTCCACAGCGACAGTGTGTCAGCTGGTGTGTGCACACTTCACCGGTTCCAAATGGAAACTGTGGTCCATTTGAAGTGACAGTGACATTCGGTTGAGATGCTCTCGGGCTACCGGTGTGAATTGAAACACACTCTAGAGCTCCTGTATGTTTAAAGGGCCACGCAGAGAGTTTGGCTTTGTATTACCCGCCACTGAAAGCTCTGCTACCACGTCACTGGTAGTCGTACTAGTTCCCAAGGAAAGTATCGGGATTATCACTCGTATAAGAGCTCACCGAACACAATGAAAAGTACATATCCACGGTCAGATACGTTGAGTAGAAAACTGTGTCTCTTCGTGATATTGGGTGAACCTTTAAAAAGAAAAAAGGCAAGGAACCTACCAAAACAGAAGGTTTTTTGTTTTTTTTAAATGCCAATTTTGTTTTCCTCCCTATGTTGTTGCTAAGTAAATTACTGGCATAACCAGTGTCTCTGCTCCCAGCTTGGACATCGAATGAAAAAGAAAGCGCAATGACCCTGATTGACTGTGAGAGGGAAAGCAGAGATTAAACGATGGTTTTCTAGACCGCTTAGTGGCAGATTTTCAGTTCGCCTCCTCATCTGCAGAGAGCTTGTTGTTGTTGTTGTTGACGTTGTGGACACGAAGGATGTCAGCGCTCAGGCGACATGTCACTCTAGCGACTTGGCGAACTCTGCGTAATCTATGTAACCGTCATTGTTCTTGTCATCGTCCCTCAGCACATCGTCGATGAGAGAGATGAGGTCCTCCTCTTTCATCGGCTGGCTGTGCTCTCCTCTCTCCTGAGGAAGAAGAGCAAGAGGAAAACATTCATGTGTGCACGTGGGACAGCAACAGATGTTATTCATTGGCTTTTTGGATGAGCCAGTTAAGTTGTTTTAGTCTCCGTTTAGTTTGGCTTCATGCTCGGCCGTCTCCATCTTTACTGTTCCTCTCCCACTGAGGCTTTGTGTTTAGATCGGACAAACACAAAGAGAGACATTGGGCCTGTCTGTCAACTCGAACAAGAACTCATAGTTGAACCTGATTAAATGGTGGTTCAACTTTAAATCTTGTTGCACCACACTTTAAAACCAGCTTCAAATGAAGAACTATTAGATTTAGTTTTTACTCTAAAACCAGATGAAATGAAATTCTATTGCACCAAAACTTTAAACTCCAATTCAAACTGTGATCCAGTTTTTAAAGTTACACTCGAGGTGGTTGAACTTTTTAAATGTCTGCCTTTTTGAGATGGACTGAGCAAAATAATCAAATTCCTCAAATAAGGTTGATGGATGGACTCAATAAAACGAGTTTTATGACGCTGCAGTTGAAGGAAACTGTTCAGCAGCTGAACAGGAAGATCTCTGTTCTTCCTTCATGTGAGGTTTCTTCTATTATTTGGCTATACTGCTTTATTAATTCTGCCTACAAGTTTCTTCTCAAAGGAGGAGAAATTAGAGTCATCAAAAGTAACTTAATTGTCTTTTCCCTTTTTATTTATTTTTTTACAAACAATGTCATGTTTTGTTAAAAGATGCAGAGCAGCCAAAAGTTGAGCCTTACTTCCTGACAGAACGCACATATATTTATTCATGTAAATTTGGGAGAGCAGGCATCCTATTGACTGAACTCTATTTAAGTTTGGTTTGAATTTGGATTTACTAAACAGATATTAGTTTTTCATGGTGCAACAGAGCTCTGCTTAATCTGGATTTACTTGTTTTAAACCTTAGTTTTGCTAAACTTAAAGCTAATCTTAGATTCAATGAATGTTTGTTGATGCAACCCAGCCTAAAAGTAAGGTCCCTGTCGAGGAGTTCACTGCGTTAGTTCGGTAGTAACTATGGATCAGCGGTTCGGTTCCGCTGGTCCATGCCGATGTGTCCTTGGGCAAGACACTTAACCCCAAATTGCTCCAATAGACTGTTCCTGCGCTGTATGAATGTAGTATGAATGTTCAGTTAGTCCTGAGGGGCAGGTGGCACCTTGCATGGTAGAATGTCCATCAGTGTGTGAATGGGTGAATGATGACATGTAGTGTTAAAGAGCTTTGAGTGATCGGAGTTCTATACAAGTACAGTCCATTTAAAAGCATTTTTTAAATGTTTGATATTTAGAAAAGTAGGAAAATAGTGTTTACTACATTATGTTCAAACCCCAAAAATAAATAAACTACTCACACACATATATAAACCTACCTCTTTGTGTACATGCGTGATAGCTGTGGCGAGCTCCAGCCCATCCAGCAGGTTGTTGCCATCGTAGTCGTGCATCTTGAAATAGTGCAGCTGGAGCTCCTGGGGTGTCATGTCCTTCTCTGGTTGGTCGATCACTCCCTCGAAATGCTGCATGATGTGGCTGGGAGGTAAAGAGAGCCGTCAAAAACCACAGATGACACGGAGCGCGTGTGTGTGTGTGTGTGAGACCATGTTCAAAGTTCAACACTCTGTGCAAATAAGTCCTGAATCGTACATACACAGCACCGAGAACTTGTGTGAGTGCGGAGGCGACACTCACTCTTTGTCCTGGATCATGTTCTTGTCCAGGCGACCGTGACCGGAGATGTGAGCCGCACTCACCACGACGGGGTCCACCTGAGAGTGGACACGCAGCAGACAGCCGGACAGGAGGACCAGCAGACCCCCCCACTGCACACTGCTCCTGCCACTCATACTGCTGGGCACACAGACAGACAGACAAGTTATTTACTGAAACATATTTTGGTGAACATCACATCTTACGTATCCTGTTTACATACACTGAATTTACACATTTGTTTCTACTCTTCCACCTTCAGCTTGTTGCTAAATAAGCCCCATTAATACATATCTGGTTTCTCCTTTTGACACCACGTTAGAGCTACACTACACACGTTTAAAACGCTAGCTCTATCGATTTAACTACGCGCCATATTGTCAACAGACAACATTTGTAAAGCCGTGATTGTAAATCAAGAGTCTGTAACGTACATTCAGCCATATGGAAACGTTGTTCGGAGGAAAAGACATTGACCACCTCCGTAAAACAATGGGCTGAATATTGATATTTCATTTCTGAGTATTAGCACATGAAGTTACGTACTCTATGAACCACATGGTTAAATAACTAGCGTTATGTTAAGAAAGACCAGCAGTTCATGTTAGCAAAAAGGCTGTCTGTAATAAGATTTGCTAGCGTGAAGCTTCATTTCAGGACTGCGTTAAATACCATGAACTGTTAATTGTACAAACCATGCAAGACATTCAGTGGTATCAGTATTTGAATGGTCGTTTGAATACTTACGCGAAAAATGACGTGTATCTTCACTTGACTCCGTGGACAGTTATGTTGTTCTACTCGTTGGCTGCAGGCAACAATGATGAGTCGCAGCCGTTAGGGACCAAGCGGCTTGCCGTAGCTCCACTTCGACACGACAGCTCATTGTGATTGGTTAAAGTTGTCGAAGAGTATATAACTGAAGCGAGAGGAGTTACTCCATCAACAGTCAGCCGTTCACTAATACCTCGCTAGACAGACTACGTTCGTATTTTATCCGTCTACGATTGAATTTAAATTGTATTATACTCACTACATGTTCCAACATTATGTTTAGATTATTATACAGCTATAATACCTAGAAAAGCCTTTAATTAGGTAACACATGTGCGTTTCCTGTTTTATAGGATGGCCGTACGCAGGGTTGCAAAATGTCTTGAGTAAATCAATAACACAAGCTAACATTTGGGTTATTTGACAAAATATTGTCATTCTCGTGATGTAATTTGTACTTTACTTTACTTTACACATGGGACTAGGTAGTTTACAGTGCGCGCCTATCTTGACAGAGAATACAGCTTTGAGGTGATTCTTTTATTACGTCAGCAGGGGGGGGTGAATAGCCCATTGACAGCCGCTCAGCTGTCAGATCATCACAGCACGGGAACACGCTGTGTGGTGTCGCTAACTGAGGGGGAAGGAGAAGCGTCGATTTGTGTCAAGCAAATGTCAAGTTTCCGGAGAGAAAGTGACGCTGCTAAATCTCTGTTCAGAAGGCTTGAGGTTTTGTGTTTTTCATGTCATACAGTAGCTGATGATAGACTCTCATTTAAACCCTCAGTAGGCAGTGGCCCGTCTCTCCCCTGTACATTACACCCTGTGCTGTGGATGATAAGACAAATGTTAAGTGTTGGTTAAAATACTGATGGAGTCGTGTGGATGTTTTCCCTTTCATCCCTTAACTTGTTCACAACTTTCCCTCCCATTTAAGATCGCTGGTTGATGTGACCTGAAGCAACACAAACATATTTTTATTTTCTCTCTGTTTGTTCAACCTTGATACAGTGCAATTACATGTCACGGTGCAATAGCTGACAGATGTATTGTGTTGTAACTGAGCCAGCCAGCGTCAGCCTGCCAATGCCGCTGAACCCAGATCAGGGAGCAAGGCAAGCAATTACAAATAGTTTTATTTTTCTCCAATGAACTTGTTTATGAAATGAACACTATTAAAGGGGGGGGGGCAGCACCTTACATGCATGTTCTGCACTTTGCTGTGGACGAGTAGCCTGAAGCTTTCTTTGTAAGCCCTACCTGATCCAGTTAAAGTGTTAGCGGGAAGAATTAAGGACGTGGCTGTTTAGAGGAGGACGCCATTCCTTTTACTTCCAACAGCTGCAGATCAAGCCCTGTCAAAACGCCACGCTCGTTTACAAGAAATGAACCTTTACCTACGGGAGTCACTAATGCATTGTCAAGACAAGACGATGTTTGCATAACAGCAGGCACCTTGAACAGTTTGCATTGTGTAGTGCTGCGAGAGTGAAGTAAGTTAAGAGGGTTCACATAGGAAAAGTTTACTTTCTGAATATTGCAGAGGTTTCTTTGTTAAATGAAGACTGACTATATTTTATTACAAATTAATTAATTAGTTATTATAATAACAACATTTAACAATGAAGCATATTCTAATATTGAAAATTAAATAAAAAAACAGTTTGCGCTTTGGATTTTGCCCTTTAATGACCCGTTGTGCCTGTAGTACCCCCTGCTCCTCCTCCCCCTCCTCCTCCACATCGCACTCAAAGATTACACATTTATTTCTCCTGGCAGTCCGCGGTCACTCCCATCGTGTCCGGGGAGTACAGTCACCACCGGGACAGAACGCCGATGGCATCGCGGGTGTCCTTCACCCAGGTGCGCCTGGAAGCGGAGCTGGAGCGCTACCGGGCCGAGTGCCAGTGGGACAAGATGCCGATGATCATCGACCAGATGAAGGTGGCACGGATGCACGAGGACGGTGAGGTGGCTGTGCACCTGGAAGGAGGGGAGGGGGGGTGACGTTTGAGGCTATCTCCTGTCGCTTCCCAGCTGTTTTTTAATATATATATATATATTAACCACTTACTCGTATGCACGCTGCATCAAATTACTACAGTTTTTTTTTCTCCTATAATAAGTGCACAAAGTTGTTAAAATCTTTCTTGGAAGTTTCCGGAAGTTGTGCAGAGTAAGTGTCTCTAATATGTAAAACAAAAAAACCTTAAAAGATTATTTTTGAAACAAGGATTTGCTGTGTCTTAATTAACCCATTTGCAGATTTCTTCAACTGGTTTGTGAAAAAGCAGGATATTAAGAAACGTGTTCGTCAAGGATGGATATGTTTTGCACTGTACACAGGCTGGACTTTGGACTCTCAGCACGATAGCGTGGTTAGGTTAAGGTTTCCCCAGCAAATGTATAAGAATAAGAAGTTGTCACTCCCTGGAAGTTTACAGTGTACACAGTAAAAGAGCGCGTATGGCCCCTCCAGCCCTCCGTGCTATAATATCTTACGCAAAACAAGGTTTCCCACTCGCTGCCTGCCTGTACCCTTGAAATCATTCCACGTGTGCTCAAAGAAATGCAAACACACTTATCACTGTGCGCCTCATGAAGCATTGCTAAGTCGCTAATGCACCTGCCTCCACCTTCTCATCTCAGCAGAGTAAATATGGGTTCAGGTGACTCGCTTATAAGTCCACTGTTGTTGTCCCCCATGGACTGATTGGCTGATAGTGCAGACCTTTCAGGTTTTTCTCCCCTGCCATGCACATGCACTGAAGTGTTAAAAATCAATGTGGTATTACTTGTGTGCACGCATGGCTCACATTAGCTGACCTGACAAGTGAGTGTGCACAGAGAGAGCTAGTTTTAGATTTGAAGATAGGGGAATATCCTGGCCATGTGATACGTAATATGGAATTCAACTTAGTGGTAAAAATCCACTTGACTGTAAAGCGGTAAAAAACAGTACGTTTTGTTCGAGCATTGCCACCACAGACTTTAACTCCACCACAGCTACAACTCCACAGGGTACCTTTCAAGTTAAGTAAAACTATCAGGGAAAGGAAATCTACAGACAAATTAAGTGAAGAATTAACAAACTTTTAAAACATTTTTTTTAACAAATTCTGTGGATAGTGGTGCATATGAGAAGAATTCCTGATCTAAGTATTTTAGAATCCTAGCCACAACCCTGCATCAATTTTTTCTCCACCTGCAGTGAACTATAAACCAAAATGCAATGTGGCCATCCTAGTGTGTAGGATCTGGCGGCAACTAGTGGTGAGATTGCAGATTGCAACCAACTGGAACTTCTCCCATGTGCCAAAGCGTGCAGAACTACGGTGGCCGACGCAAAAATGCGAAAATGCAAACTTCGGGCAAACAGCATTGACATAGCATCACCTTTCAAGTTTATGCAGCTAACGTGTTAGCAAACAGCTGCTAATTTACACACCCAGCAGTTAAAGGGCACTCATTTTTAGCCTTCAAACGTTTCTGTCCGCCTGAATGTTTTAGCTCAGTTTTGGTCCCCACCAACTCCTGTGGGAAATATCTGACTCTTTAGCTGTTAATGTTCCACTATGTTCAACAGATAGAGTCTCCAACTTTCGTCTGTCTGGTGTTTGGTGCTATAGCTACAACGATGTGTCACAAAATGACTCTTGGAAAACAGCATCACAGATGAAAGAAAGGTTGAGAAAACTGATTTTATTTGAATACTTCATCTGTCTTCTTGCTTCGACACAAGAATGTTTGATCCCAAACAGTCCCAACAACGTTACCTCTCGGTTACTCATTGCAACACCGACTCTTCCCACAGTCTTTGCTCAAACTTGTGTGAAATCATTAAATAGCTCTTAGGGGCTGGGACATGTCCTGCTGTTTATCCCTCACCTTCCCCTCGCTGATAGGTCGAGCCTTTGCTGTGCTGATAAAACCAACTGGCAAATATGTCAAGTCTATCAGAAAATAAACACTGCTCACAGAGTTGGCGTCAGAACACACACACACACACACACACACACACACACACACACACACACACACAGAATGAAGAAGCTAAACAGGAAGGCTTTAATCGTGTGTGTACACAAAAAACAAGGTTTACTCCTGGACTCTGAACAGAATGGTTTACCGTAAGAGTAAACTTGAATATCTTTAGTGGAGGTGGACGTGGAGTGCTTATTGTATGATTGCAATGTTAAAGCTATTTAAGGGAAGTATGAGGGAAATGGAAAATGTTGCTTCTAAATAGACACTCTATTTGAACCCCTCTAACTGAACCGGTGGGAAATGCAGTTTTTAAGTGAGGTTTGCTTTGGCTACAGAAACATATGACCTTTGACCCGGAGCTCAGACCTATACTCCAAAAAAACTCAGTTTACTTTCTCAATCCCACCCACTAGATGACTATGGGACGCTGCTGATGGCGGAGGCGCTGCTGGAGGAGTGCCTGCAGGACAACATGGACCTATTACGGAGCTCCACGCCTCTGATGGAGAAGACCCAGCCCAGACTGAGCCGAGCCAAAGGCCACCTCAACACCATCCTTAGCCGAGGCCGCCTCACAGTCAGTTTGTTCCCTCGAGTTTCTTTATACAACTAAATAAATGGAGTACTGAAAGTGTTGTGACACAGAGCACAGGAAGCTTTTAAAACAAATATCGTCCTTTTAGTCCGTTATTGCCAAACCATTTTGTTTCCTCTCATCCTCCAGCCCAGGTACCTGAACGAGGCTCTGCTGCTGATGGCCAAAGTAAACTATGTGCTAGGTCGCTACCGGGACGCCCAGGGAATGTGTGCCCGGGTGGGGCTGGAGGAGCTGACGCGGGACGAGCAGCCGACCTACCACCTCCGCCTGCTGGCCGAGGCGTTCATCATTAAAGGTACCTGACGCCTCTGGAGAATTTAAGGGAAATTCCATTTCTTTTCCTACTTGGGTTGTAATTTCAGTAATTTTTTCCATCATTATAATTGGTAATCATTTTGTAGACTGCAAGTGGTCGCCAGATCTGCAAACATGGTCACAAAAACAAGTCATACGGGGAAAAAAACACAAGAATTTCAGACTATTTGGACATCCGCTATAGAGCTGCACAGTTTACAGATCTCCAACCTGTCGGCATGAGCCTCAATTCAGCTGAGGCAGCACTGAGGACCGGCATGTTTCCCTTAAAAAAACACCACAGGCAAGACCGAACAGCTCCCTTCATACTTGTCCTCGATGATCACATTCCTAATCCCTTTTGCTACGAGTTATCACAGCCCTAAAATCACAATGACCTTGTATGGGGTCTTGAAGTGGAAGTGGGAAGGGAGAAGGGCCGACTGACGAAATCCAATCTGCGGAAATGAATGTCACAGGGCTGGAAAGCGTCAGCTTGAATGGACAGATGTCAGTGACCCCCACAAACTGTGTCGTTGATTTGGCGAAAGGCAATCCCGGGTTCACTCTCGTTTTGGAAAGAGCTTCGTCCACTTGGCTGTTGGCCTCGCTATGTTTTCGGCGCTGTGTCTGCCACTTTCGAAACTTCCTCTCGGATGCGTGCTTACAATCTGGCACCTGGTCTTTACTTTTTTATAGAGATTGACGACCAGAAACGTCCCGGACACACACACACACACAAAAAAAAAAGCAAACACCGCCACACATTGAGAAGTTTATATACATTGTTTCTTGGGAACTTTCTACTCATTGTGCCTTTAAGTACAATAACAACTTACGTCTAAATAAATGGTATCTACAGAATGGTATGCAAAGTAACAACGTTGAAGCCCTTCGCGGGAACAGATTGAGTGGAACTGGCAGATTTCTATACAGATGCTGCTTTACAAGCCCCATGATTGTGAGTCACACGTCGAGGAAACACTCACTGTTACTCACAGTCACGCATGCACACAAGCTGTCTGAAGTCCAAAAAACGTAGCTTGGTTATAGCAGATTATTTTGGGGTCACTTTAAGAATGTGCTTTTTTTTTCACCCCAGTCAGATAAACTCCTAAGTATTTAAGCCTATTTTGACAAATCGAATAGCAGCATTATTAAAGGTCACATCCACACAACATTACACTGTCTGTGGCGCTTTGATCTCTGGGTAATCTTGTTACGCTCATCATCATCATCATTATGCTCCCTGTTTCCTGATAATCGGATGTGACCTCATGCTCTTGAAACTGAAGAGAATTTCAGGACGGTAACTGTGAGATTTTGATTTCCTGTAATTGTTGTTGAAACCCACTAAATGATATTGACAGGGGACCGTGTTTGATGCTGCAAGAGAAAACAGATCGGATCCTTTGGGGGTTGCTTAGCTCCTTCCCAGGGTTGTGTGTGCGTGTGTGTGTGTGTGTGTGTATTATGGTGGGAATGAAGTCAGATGTGAATATTTGGACGATGATGTCCTGTCTATCGGCAGCTCTCTGCTTATTTGATTAGGGCTGGCGTCTGGCCGCGAGGCTGCTGTCCGTCACAGGCCTCTTGCAGTCTAGAAACTTTCCTGCTCGCTCCGGTTATTTGTTGCCAATGAGCCCACTTACAGACATCAGACCCGGCATCTGGACCAGGACTGCCCTTCTCCCTTTCTCCCTCTGTATCGTTTAGAAACTTAAATTCATGTAAATAATTTGATTTACAGGCAGTGCAATGTTGTGTGGATGTGACCACGTAATAATTCAAATACATGATAAAGTTATTGAATGAGCCTTAACTTATGAATACCTGGGAGTTTTTCTGTGAAGTTAGGTGTCTGCTATAGAAACAAATGCTGTTTTTCTTTTGCTGCAAATTTGCTGTGTTTTTTTTTTTGTCGTCTCTTTAAGGTGATCGATTTTGTTTAATATGTTTTTTTTTTTAACTTTTTGCTGTTTTTAAAAAATATATATATTTGTGGTGCTTGTGTGAAACTTTTCCGCTGTCATCTTGGCCAGGACCCCCTGTTGGAAAAAAAGATCAAAATCTCAATGGCAAAAATAAAGGTTAAATAAAATAAAATAAATAAAAGCACCAAATTTCATTGAGAATTTGGGGCTGTCCTTTGATAGTGGATCCAATGCACAGTGCGATACAGGTTTTATCATGCGACTCTACCTGTCTTGTCTGTTAGTACTTGATAAACAAAGTAGAAGATTTAGTATGTCAGTATGTCATAGGATTAAACATCAATGACACATTTCCAAAAGTCACATCTCCTAAAAATATGCAAAAAAACGACATTTCACTGTTCATCTCATGCATCTGGTCTGGCTGTAAAACATCACATGCAGCATTATTTTAAAAATGACTTAAGTTCATTTATTTCAGACCAAAATATGTCTCTTTGACATTTTCTATTTGACATTTAAGGCCTACCATTGTAACAAATAACAAATATTTTCAATCACTTAAACTTCTAACTAATTATGAATTATGAACAATTACAGTTTTTGTGTCGTACAGTATATTGCACATATGGTTTTCTGTATCTTGTGAATTACCTGCTCCAGAGGTGTTGGTCTTATGTTGTAACGGCCCGTCGTCTGTCCTTCTGTCTCAGGTCTGTCTCTGGACCACCAGACGGTTTCTGCCGTGTCCCGTGTCCGTCTGTCAGAGAGGGAGGAGGAGAGTCTGTCCTGCTACCTCAGGGCCACCGACGCTTCTCTGTCCTACCTGCAGGAGCTCGATAAGGTGGCTTTCCATTTGACAGATATGTGTGTTTTATTTACATAAGATATGACGACGTAATATTGTTGACAAAGTATTTTTACAAGATATGATTTATAATAACAATGACAATACATTTTTAACAACAAAAAATAAAGAAAATGTGATTATGTCCAGATGTGTATGAGTGTGTGTGTGTGTGTGGGTGCGAGAGCAGCGTGGGCTTGTGTTTGTTGAGGGGATATTGGTTCATACACCTGCATTAACTCCTAAACATCAGTAATGCTACAAGTCCCTATGACTGAAACAACGAGAGATATAATATAAAACCTGAAGCAAGGAATTCATGGACAATAAGACAAAAGGAAAGCAATTACAAACTAGCAATTTAATTGTCATTTAAGCATCTTTTAAAACATTTGATAGTTTAATTCGGCATTTATTTATCATAGTTTATAGTGTTGTTTATTTTAGTTATTTAACACTTTCCGACACAGGTTTTTAGTAGTCAGTAACATTTGGTTCTGTATGTCAGTGGTGTAAAGTAACTAAGTATATTAAAGGTCCTTGTACTTTACTTTTTCCACTTTGTGCGAGTGTATACTTCTGATTCTCTTTCATAAATTCCACAGCTTATAGTTGTTGCTTACTTTTTTAAGATTTTACAGTTCATGAAGTACGGTGTGATCCATTGTTACGGATTAAACTGCACAAAATGATGTAGAGTATTTATATTTAGCTCCATCGCAACATGAAAGTACTGCTTACATTTTACTGCATAATGAGTATATTTTTTCTTTTTGACACTGTACTTTTTGCTGCCAATATCTATACACACACACGCACACACACGCACACGTGTGTTAACCCTGAACTCGATGCACACACACACACACACATAGATTAACAACAGGATAATAGCTAAAGCATTTAAATCAACCTTAAGCTTTAGAGATAGCGAATAAAAACTTTGATGTTTCGTGTATTTTCAGACAGTAACGGCACCTCACACCAAGACAGCCAAAGGCAGTCTTCTTCCTCCCCCCGTGGACGTGGACCTGGGCTACTTCCTGCAGGCTTCTTTACAGAGCGCTTACCTTTGTCTGCTGCAGAGGGGGTGAGTCCACACACCACCCATCCACACGCAACACTCACACAGCGCCCGCCTTCGTTTTGTGCCACATGTTGTCCTGTAAGCCAGTTGCACGTTCTGTGCACTATTTTTCCCAAGTCATTTTGACGTGATCTTCAATGTCTGGCAACAAAAAAGTGAAAAGTTTACTGAAGACTATGTTTTGAATATGATTAAAGAGCAGTAAAAGAAAGCATCTCTTCAAATAGATTTTTGTTGTGTAGTCGGTTATTGGCCTTATTTAATTACCAACTGGAATTCCTATTTTATCTCATCTTCTCACCGCTGTTAGACTACGATTAACGGCTGCAGTCTTTGCTTATTCCACCTTGACTGTAACGGAGGGAACCTTGGGCTTTTTATCCGACTGTTTTAGAAAAGGAAAGAGAGGGGGGAGAATAAGTCAAGGAGTAGCTTTAAAGTGCCACTTGACCTCAGTGCAGCAGAGATGCATTTCAATTGATGGCCAGCAGGTGTCAGTGTTGCCCTATAGGACTCAGAAAGGCAAAGTGTGGCCTGTCGCTCACTCACTCACTCTGCGGTCATACTTTAAGTTCATACTGCAGCTGCCCATACACAGTGCGCACGGTTGCATGCAGTATGCGTTCAACTGGGAAATACATTTACATTACTTACTTACATAAAATTCTGGCCTAAATATGGACCCTATTGCTCATGTTTTCTGCACAGAGGATTGAGGTTCAGAATAGCCAGAAAAGCATGTGTGCATGCTGCATTTGACATACTATGTTTTGGGACATGCTGCATCTTTTTCTAGCATACTAAATAGTCTGGTAGTTTCCAGTTTATTAGGCGCACCCAGCTAAAACAAATGCAGTGTGATACAACAGTCCTGAAATAACTCATCCTCATAAAGGTTGCCATGATCCGTTTTTCGCGAAACTGTTGTAACTGCTTTATTTTTTCAAACATTTCTACCATCACTGACATAAATAGGGTAGACAAAATACTAGGAACACTAGCAGCAGAGTAAATTGCTGCACTCATTTTAGAACTTATCTCGCAAGCTGTGACCCTGAAGCGGTATGCAGTCAGAATATCAGTGCTGTTGCTCACAGCCTCAATGTTGCACCTTCACAATACATCACACGGATGTACGCCTACTGTGTGTGTGTTTGTGTTAGTCATCTGGCGCAGGGTGCTCACCAGCTGCGTAGGGTGCTCAGGGTTGTGGAGTCAAGAGGGTCCCAGAGCTTCAGGAAGGTGAGGTGTCTCTCTCTCTCACACACACACACACACACACACACACACACACACACACACACACACAAATAGTTCAATTATTCAATGGTGTATCAGCACATTCACGTGTAGATCGGTAGCTATATGCTATCACTTTAGACAAGCTAACCCAGCAGGCAATTTATTAAAGCATATATTTAAAAACAAATCCCCATGAACTATGCTGGAAAAATAATACACAGATTTGAACAATGAGGACGAATCTATGCATTAGTCTACATTATTATAACTTAAAGTTGCTCATTAATTTAAGAAATTCAGAGCGTATCTGTGATTGAGGGATTGCCGCCAAACGGCTCTAAGTGTGGGGACTGCTGAGCCGGCAGCTAGCAGCTAATGGCGCTAGCAGCTAACGGTGCTAACAGCGTGAACAGTGCTAACAGCTAACAGTGCTAACAGCGTGAACAGTGCAAACAACGACAACAGTGCATTAACATGCGTGCATGCAAGAGGGAGAGTGCCCTCATTCTCTGCTCGGGTAGACATTACTCCACTATATCTTTACATAGCAAATAATAGTTTATGCTGTATTAATATTATTTCAAATGAAGCACCTTTAATAAGTTCTGTCCTCTGCATGCGCATCACCAGGATGAACACTATTCCATTAAAACATCTTGGTTTCCTCTTAGTCTGCAGCGAGGAAGCTAGCAGAGGTGCTGCTGAGCTCAATGGGTGAGGACAGCTACTGGCCCCCGCTGGGCCCCCCACCCTCAGCCTGGCTCCTCAGAGAGGGAGCCGCCGCCTCCAAAGACGCCATCTACCCCACTGTTAAACCACCGCAACGTTACAGCACTGACTGGTTTGTTTGTTTCATTTCTATGTTTTTTTTTGCTCATGTGTTTCATTCTACTGGTCTTTATCCTCTTAATTATCCATGGGATCCAACTGTCAGTGTACTAAGTGCAATTGCTTTACCCAGGTTCTAAATTTAAGAAGGGTGATGCCTCCTGGAATTGTGTTTTGATACTCCTTTGTGTCAACTCACTATTATGCCCACAGCTGTTATCTCTAGGAGTCAATTTCCTTTTGTCGAAGTTGCACTTTCAGCCAATGTGGTATCAGTTTTGTCCGAGATGCTATCCTCCCCGCAACTGGAGCACTTGGCAGTTGGCGCCGATTCTCTTTGTCCAAGTGATTTCTTTTTTTTACTAAAGACTATGAGTCATGATCAGGGAGGCGTGAATCTGAGTCACGTCTCCACAAAGTAAAAGTACGCCCTTTCACATGGAGAGTCAGGTAAGAGACTTTCCTGGAGGGGGCTCATAGGCTACCAGTTTACGCTGGGTCATTCAAGGTGAGGAATCCCAGCTCACACACAACTCGCCTCCTCTTATCAGTGTAGTTTAGAGCTGAGGAAAACAAATGCCACACACCTATTATACTGGTGAATATGCATAGGGCAATGAAATCCTAATTAATTAACTGTCATTACGGTTCATATTTAGATTATTATAACAAGTACTTACAAGTACAGTAATGGAGAGAGACAAATATGATAGAGAAAAAGAAAAATATGTATTTGAATTGGACAAGGACCTGGTGTTATTATAGCATATCTTGCATATTTACCGAAAGTACTACTTCGACAAAGAATACCTCACTAAATATAGAAATAAACATTGACTGGTTCAAAAAAAATGGTTGTAAGTGCAGCTAGACTAACAATGATAAAACATGCAGTGAATATTTTTTTGTGGTTTTCTTAAATTCATTCTTCAGCAGTTAATGATGTGTTCAGCTGAACTTGGAAAACAAAAATCTGAAAGCAAAAGCAAATGACCTTAATTACCCTTTAATAAGCTGTTTTGGAGCCAAGCAACTGGGCATACAGATGTGTTTAAAACCCCTTGAAACTTCTGGATGAGCTGAACCCTTTCTCCATCGCTGCTAAGCCAGGCTGATGTTAAGTGACACAGCAACAGCCCGTGTGTCCTTTCACGTGTTGAACCTGAAAAACATAATGGTAAATGGACTGTACTTGTATTGTGCTTTTTTATGGGGTCAAGCGTCTTACTCAACAACACATTGACATGGACTTGCGGAGCCGGGGATCGAACCACTGATCCTCTGATTGAAGGACGACCCTGCTCTCTACTTAGACACAGTCGCCCCCCCATAATATGGCATAGCACAACAAAAAAATAACATAACATACTATGACATAACATAACATAAAAAGATGATATGACATACTGTAGCACAACATGACATAACTGCATGAGATAGCATAGCATAACTTGATATAGCATAAAATAACAAGATAACATGACCCGACAAGATAAGATAAAATGACAAGAGAAGACAATATGACATGACATAATACAACAACATGACAAGATGACATGACAAGAAAACGTAACACGACAAGAAAACATGACATGACATAACATAACAAGTTAACATTACTTACTCATGACATGACTTAATATACCAGAATAGCCTAACATAACATTAAATAACACAACAGCATACACACATACATAATGTGCTATACAGTATGTAGCATAGCACAATACGACATGCCATGACATGACAGCGTAACATAACATATATCGTATCAAGATATTAAAGTGACATACTGTAGCATAAAATGACATGAAGAGCAGAAAATGCATGGCACGGTCCTGACATGACAAACTGGTCATCTGCATACAGATTGTATCAACGTTTTGTTGCCTGATTTCTGCATTACCCTCTTTGCAGGGATCCTGCGCTCGTTGCTCGGGCCCTGCGAGCCATTCTTAGTCACCGCCACATGACTAATGCTGCCCACACTATCATAAGTGAAGATCTAAATCCATGTCTGAGATTAGAAGGAGAGGAGGAACAGGAGTCTTCACCCTGAGGAATAGCTGTACTTGAGCATTGTTCAGGGCTTTTGTCATCAGTTTTCTCTTTTGAAAAGGCCACGCTGGTGTCTGGTAAACGTGTCCTTTAATAGGACACAGAGCCGACCGGAGAGGGAGAAGCAGCGAAAGTGATGAATGAGAGGGGTGGGAGAGGTAGAGATGGAAGAAATGAAGGAGCCTGTGTGTGTGTGTGTGTGCGTGTGTGTGTGTGTGTGTGTGTGTGTGTGTGTGTGTGTGAGACATCGGAGATAGTGCTGTGTAGCGATACACCCAGTGTGGCCCGTGTTGTATTACAGCACCACAAGTGATACAGAAACTGGACACTCCCAGCAATCTGGAAATCTACCTGTGGCCAAGTTGTGTGTGTGTGCGTGTGTGTGTGTGTGAGGGATAGACTTCCTGTTCTTGGTTCTATTTCCTGTTTCTTGTGTCCTGGCAGTTGCTTCTGTCCTCAGGACGTGGTGGAGGAGGCTGTGTTGCTGCTGCTCATCACAGAGTCCATGGTGAGACACACACATACACTCCCTCTGTCTTCTCTAGCATTTCCCTTACACTCCACGCTCTCAGCCTTTTTGCTTTCAAAACACAGAATAGACCTCTCTGCTGAGACCATCAGTATCACCTCCTTTCCCTTCCTTAGTTTCCCTCCTTCTCCTCCTCCTCCTTCCTCACTCGGCATCTCTGTCCGCCCAGGCCAGCGGGGAGGCGGTGATCAGTCGTCTGCCAGAGCAGGCCGAGGCTCGCAAGGCCAGCCTGCAGGATGCCACCTCTGTCTATGACCTGCTCACCATCGGCATGGCCAGAAGGGGGCAGTATGGCATGCTTTCTGAGGTGAGCTGACACACACACATAAACAGAGACACACTCCATGCTGAGGGGAAGCCAGCAAAAGCGTGAGGGATCAGATGTGTTAGCGAGAGCTTTGCCTTTGCCAAACTTTTTAATGAATGTCCTTAACACTTTGAGCAAGGGGATTAGGTGTCTCTTTCTGCTTCTTCTTTCATTTTTTCTTCTTCCAGTATCTCACGCCAAATTCCTCCTCCATTTACTCTTTTTTTTTTCTTTCTTTTTTTTGTTACCCCCCTCGAATCTGACCTCTACCCAGATGTAGGAAGTTAGGGAGGCGGAGGCTAGAGGGGTCCACTAAAATTTGGTTTGTCCACCTGTCTGACTGATTCATAGATGGCATCAGTCATCTTACAAGGAGGCCCACACACACTCATGCACACTGAGGTAGTTCCACTTAGACCAGTGAATCAGTTTGCTATATATGAGGCCAGTATGGGCCATTTATTAAGAATCAGATGTCAGCCGGTCAGTGCCATCCATCTCTGATGTGATGAATCATGTTCACAGTGATTGATTACAGACTTACCGAAGCATCGATCAATCCATGAGGTGTCTGCAGCAAGGTCTGATTCTAATATCACAATTTAGTTGGAGGACACAGAGGTGGTATTATTATGTTGGATTATGCGGATGGAAAAAAAGTCAGTGATTTGACATTTTTGCAAAATGACATTAGTTAATGGCAATAACGGAGGAAGTATTTAAATCCCGCAATTAAGCGAAAGCAAAAATGTTTAATTATGAGTAAAAGACATGCGTGCAAAGATGTTTTTAATAAAAGTACATTATATTCCTACTTTCAGAGTCTTGTATTATCATATATGTTGAATTATTGGATTAATATTACGGGTGCATTAATGTATAAGTAGCTGCTCGAGGTAGAATCAGCTTTAGCTCTGCTGGCAGCGTCAGCTGGTCGGTCCTTCACTTTGGACATTCAAGGTCCCCAGTGAATGACTTTGGTGATCCCTTGACTTTTCATCCATTTCCGCCAGGAGGTTGGAATATTGCTGCAAAAATATCTTGACAATTATTGGATGCATTGCCATGACATTTGGTCCACACATTCATGTTTCCCACACCTACAAAATGTCCGACACAGAGACCCGTACCAACCAGGAAGACACTGAAAACACCTACAAAGAGACACAAAAGACTACTAAAGACAACTAGACAGAGATACAAAACAGCTGCAAAGAGACCACAAAGATACACAAAGAGATTCACAATGACTATGAAAAGGGGCAAAATAACCTCAAAGAGACAATGAATGACTACAGATAGACACAAAGCAGCTATGAAGAGACTCAACATGACTACAAAGAGACAGAAAGCAACTACAAAAACACTGGGATTGACTTAAAAGCGACAAAATGACCACAAAGAGACACAAAACCACTGCAAAGAGATAGATAAGTACCACAAAAAGACACAACATAACTACAAAAAAAGATGCAAAACAACTACAAAAAGATCAAACAGTTACAAAGTGACACAAAATGACTACAAAGAGACACAAAATGACTACAAGATAAACAGGGGGTTAAATTTGGATTTGTTATGTGGGGGGGGGCCTTAACAAGGGTCAGCACCATCACGTATGTAGCAGCAGCAGTGAACTCACTATACAAGTCTTCCTGCATGTTTAATCGATTCTAAGCTTAGTGCGTTCGTTGTATATTGTTGAAGAAATCCCCACAGTATTTTCAGTGAAACAATTAGCCACGCTGAGCTCTATACAGCGGGGCATGTTTGTCTGCATGTCAAACGGTCAGCAGCCTTCCTAATATGTGCCCATTATTTAATCAGAATATTAGGCAGACTTTTCCTGGTTCCACATGACTGACAACACCTGACTGAGCAGCGCTCCGCGCCCTTCCTCTGCTCGTCCACACACACATCAATCACCTCATTATGTGCTGAAACAGCACTGAGTGGGTGGCGAGTGGTGAGTGACAGTCATTTCAAGCTAGAAAAATGTGGTCAAGAAGGGGGGCCATTCAGTTCAGCGGACATGTAAATGATGAGGGAATAGATGTAATGTTCCTAACCTTGGCTTTTCCTTTTGGCTCAGTCTGGATTAACCTGACCAGCGTCTGTCCCAACCTCAACATGAGCATCCCCTTTTATGAGTTAAACCACTAAGACGTGCTCGTGTGTCTGCATTTCTCCTCGCAGTGTCTGGAGCGAGCCATGAAGTTTTCTTACAACGAGTTCCACCTCTGGCACCAGCTGGGCCTGTCACTCATGGCGGCCGGGAAGGTGAGCTCATTGCTCCTTATACACCAGCGACAGCCCCCTTCGCACACGCCACGCCACACCCGAAGGCGACATCCATCTCCTGCCATACCTCTGTTCACGGAGCAGTCTGCTCGGAGATGCGGATGGGTTTGACAATTGCCAAGTAGATTAATTGAACTAAAAGGGCATTCAACTATACCTTATTAGTCTAAACCATCTGGTACAGAATGCATTGTCCTTTATGGCTACTCCCTCCTGATATAGGAAATACTATTTCATCCATTTGCTGCTAAATAAGTGTTGAAATGTTTTTGGACATTCTTCAAATGGGATTCCTCTAAAGGAGCTGGAATAGCTTACAACCCTCTCTCTCTCTTTCCTCCTCCCTCGGTTCGTGTGTGTGTGTGTGTGTGTGTGTGTGTGTGTGTGTGTGTGTGTGTTTGTGACAGAAAAAAAATTGATCTGGGTTGCTGGATAAAGTGACACTGCAGATCAATGGCTCCAGAAATAGGCTGCTCCCTAGAAGGAGAAGGGGCCTGCCTCGGTGTCGTCAGATCCGCTTCTATTCAGGGCCAGCCGGGGTGCACGCGTGTGTGTGTCGTGTGTGTGTGTGTGCGTGTGCGAGCGCATGTGCGCGTGGTCCATTAATGATTGACCTACATGTATTAAGTGACTGTGTGTCTAAATGGGTCTATTAGGGCTGTGTAAGGACAGCTGATGTGTGTTTGATGCACTCGCTTAAACGCGATCCGTGTCATCTGTGGCCGCATGATAAACTGGCTGCTGCGTGCACATGAATCACAATTTCACGGTGACGTTTGTGTGTGCGTGTGTGTGTGTGTGTGTGGGTGTGTGTGTGTGTGTGTGTGTGTGTTCCTTCCAGGGAGTTGGTGCTGTGTCTGTATTTAAGGAGTGTGCCAGGATGAGACCAGAGGACCCCTCATTGCCCCTATTGGCTGCTAAAGTCTGCATTGGTCAACTGCACTGGGTGAATACACGCAAAACATTCACATTACATACACACACACACACACACGCGCCTGGGCTCATATATACAGTTGAGAGTGAAGGTCTGAGAGTCTGAGCCATGTGCGGACGTTAAGATTGGGATGATGACCTCTTGCTGTGATGTGCATCGACCCTTAAAGCAGTGGTTCCAAACCTGGGGATCAGGATCGCCACATGATTACTGTGGTGCCAGACTAAATTCAATAACAGAAAATGTAATGTTTATTTTCCAACTTTCATCTCGTATTTGGTCATTTCTTAGCCGTGCTCTAGGGCTCTGTGGATGGCTATGTTGGACCCAGACTGAAATATCTCAAACAATTACCGTGGAATTTGGTGTACACATTCATCCTTTCACTTTTCATCAAGCGCTATCATCAGGTCCAAATTGTATTTTGTCCAATCCTGTGGTTTATGACCAAATACCTGCAGAACGAATCGCATTCCCATCAGCTATACTTAGGCAATGAGCAAATGTCAGCATGCTAGCATGCTTAATTAACATCACTGAACATCAGCGTGTTAGCATTTGTTATTGCGAACATGTTAGCGTGTTGGCATTAGTGATGAGCTATATTGGAGAGAAGGCAGACATCGCTACGACCGCTATCTCCAAAACCAGGCAACTCACACCAAGGCGATAGATAGCACTACAGGTAAGAAGATAAATACTTATTTTAGAGTTTATGGGTCCCTTTAAGAAGTCACAAGCACAAAAAAAAGGTCAGCAGAATACGGACTTGTCACAAAGCCAAACAAATATATGTAAAGGCTCAAATTGCACAGACGGAGTAGCAAGCATTTGTTCTTCATCTTGGACTGATGAGCTATCGCAAATCTGCATTTGAACGTCGGCTTCAGCGAACACTCCTAAGATAAAGATGTGAAAGGTGAGGTTGAGTCATGGAACTCTGCGCTACACGGACAGCTGCCTTTGTAGAATGTGCGCAGAGAGCTGTAACACAGCAACGCTAATGTTTTCGGGGGTTGACGCTGGGGTCACTTGTTCGTAATCTGGGCAGGAGGGAGAAAGTCAATGTCAACAGTGGTGTTAAGGGTGGGCGAGAGAGAGAGAGAGAGAGAGAGAGAGAGAGAGTGTGAGAGAGAGAAAGAGAGAGTGAGAGAGAGAGCGTGAGAGAGAGCGAGAGAGAGAGAGCGAGAGAGAGAGAGAGCGAGAGAAAGGGGTCAGAGATTAGAAAAGAGCTAACAGGGGCGAACGGAGAGAGAGCACATCTGTCGGTGGCTGGAGATCATGGGAGTCCGGAGACACTAAGGAGCTTACAGCGTCACAATGGGACACTGTGGCCATAGTGCAGTGGGGCATTACATAAATGGGCCACCATTATCCACCATCAGCTCCACTGAATTGGTCTGGACTATTATCTAACCAGCAACATTTATTGTTATTGTGGCCCACGGACTAAACCCAAACTACAATTCCCTCACATTTTTTTTCCAGATATTCCAGAGAGCTCCTATACATGTTTATTAAATTAAAATAGGAAAGATTACATCACTACAAACTTCACGACTGGCTATTTGAAAGCAGAGCTGTTTTTTTTGTTTTTTAAATGTATTTTTATTAATTCTTGAAGAGCTGTTTTGCAGATCTTTGAGGGGAGAGAGGGAAAAAAAAAACCAAAACAACTTAATCCTCCTAAGATGTGCATGGACGGGCTGTGTGTTTAAATGACTATTGTGCGCAAGCTTTGAACTCGCGAGGGCCGGATTCAGAGAAAGAGAGAGAGAAAGGACCAGAGGGGGAGGATGAAGGGAGGAAGAGGAGGAGGAGGAAGAAGAGGGTGTAAAAGCAGTTGGCTTGCTGTTGCGCTGGTGTGCCGTCACAGGCATTACCCCCCTACGCCCACCTGACCCGCCCGCCCGCCATACCTCACACAGAGTGACACACTTTTCTCCTCAGCTCAGCTCGGCCACACACCGCCTTCATTTCTGCTGCTGCGTGTGTGGGCGAGCGTGCGTGTGTATGTATGTGTGTGTCCTTCAGCAAACTCTGCGTCGTCCTTGAGTCTGCTCTGGACTGTCCTCACGCTAAACTCACAACCTGGACTTTTTGTGAGCAGAATGATTTGGTGTTCCACCTGCGCTTTGAAGTACACACAATAAAACTGGCTAATTGGGGTGCATGTTTATGTGCAGTTCGAGGAGGCTGAGGCTCTGTCGCAAAGTGTGGCGTCTATGGGGGAAGAAGCCGGAGAACTTCTGCCTAGGGCCTACCTGTCCATGGGACTCTGCTGCAGTTTACAGGCCTCTGATGGTAAGGACACACAAACCAACAAATAGACTTTTCTCTCAAATGCTTTAAAACAACGAGGTGTTTTTCTGACAATCAGTGTATACCCAAACCTCTTGGTTCCACCACGGATCCCCATCCTGACGCCTATACCAGTCAACATTTGGTGATCACAATCTTTCCCTGATAATCGATTGCCATTAACTGAAGTTAAGTGTGCATCAAGCACGTGCTTCAAGTGGATGTTCCTGTATGCGAGCGCAACCTACAAGCTAGCTTATGACCGCCACCCTGCGCTGCTCTCATACGGCGATTACAGCTGATAACGGCGTCCCAACCAACGGCGTCGCCGCGAAAGGGTAGCCTCCGGTTCCCCCTCATATAAACACTGTTTAGCTGCACTGTTAGCACCGTTAGCTGCCGAGCACCCCCGTCGCCATGTTGAGAGCCGTTGAGAGGCAATCGATATGCTCCCAATCTCGTATAATGCACCTTTAAGGGAACAGTTCCACATTTTGGGAAATACTATTTTATTTTGTGGCAGAGTTAGACAAAAAAAATCAACCCTTCCCATCTATTTCTCATTAAAAAAGTGAATAAGTGTGAATAATTCCCACAATTTCCATGGTTATAGGTTAATTTGGAAGGGCAACTCGGGAAACTGTGACGAGTAAACTTTCAGTTCTGCCCCCTCTCTTTCTCTCTCTCTCTCTCTCTCTCTCTCTCTCTCTCTCTCTCTCTCCAGCGACTCTGAAAGCTGATCGTGATGAATTCAACAAAAAAGCACTGCGAGCTTTGAGCAAGTAGGTTCCTGTTCTTCTACGCTCCATCACGTCTTTCCTCTTGTTCATCAGCTGTTGGAGTTTTGCTCATAGTATTTCATTTCAACCAATGTGGTTAATTCTATCCCATTTAGACAGGTTTTTGTTTGTCAAAAAAGTTCACTCTCCTGGCAAAAATGAGATAAAATCTTTGCTAACACACTGTGAACCATCTGGGGTTTCTCTCTCTCCTCTGCAGGGCTCATTCATTAGACCCCCAGGATGCTCAGATTGCCATGTACCTGGCTCTGCAGCTGGCACTTGTACGCCAGGTATAAAGTTAATATATGTATTAATCAACAGACATTAGTTATCAGCAACCAGTGCGGCTTGTAAGTCATAACCTGAGGATGGAATTGTGTCCGGCAGGTATCGGCAGCCACAGAGCCCCTGCAGGCGGCTTTATCTCTCCGTGGGGATGACCTGCACTCCCTCCACCTGCTGACTCTGCTGCTGAGCGCCCAGAAACACCACCGTCACGCCCTGGACACCCTGGGCCTGGCCCTCAGCCAGCACCCCGGCAACTTCAAGTAAAACACCCACTGTACCGCCCCACTCACACAGGCAACAGAAAATGTCGGTGGCAGTGTTCGCTGTACTTTTTAGACTATGTGCGTTGTTGTTGTTTTTTATATGTGTGTGCGTGCGTGTGCGTGTGTGTGTGTGTGTGTAAGAGTAGCTCCCTGTTCTAACACTAGTCCTCTCCGTAGGCTCGACTGTGCTGGAGTCCAGGCACTCGAGCACACACTCGACACCTTATTTAGACGCGCCAGAGCGGAGGCCTGCATTGCGGTACCTATGCCCCTCATACCCTTTGAACACGGCAGCTCTGACCCGACCCCCAGGCCCGAGTGCTGCTTTCCTGACAGAACAGAGACGTCCCGACACATAAGCCCACCGGTTTGCTCCACTAAACAAGCTAAAACACACGAAAACTCGGACATTTGCAATCTCATTCATTTAAGGCAGGTAGGGTTGCAGTTTTGGGACATGTTGCAGGGGTTATGGGTTCTCTTACCACCCATCCGCCATTTCAACAACATTTTCATAGTGTTTTTCACTGTGTTATACTTCACCAAGTTTTAAAATACATATTTTTAAAAAGTATGTGGATTTTTTTAATCTATATTTAATTATATTAAGATTATATATAAAACTATATATATTTATAAATATATAAATAAAAACATTTTAATACACCGAATATCCACATTAACATTTTTTTCATTTCATTTTATAGTCCTACGATTTTATTTAATTTCTTGACAAAAAATATTGTATTTTTCCCCCAAAATTGTATTCTTGTCTCGGCTGAAAAGACTCAGAAGCTTAGTCATATGTCCCAAAAATTTCTAAAAAGAATCCAGCTTGAAATAAAATAATGAAAGGCAGGTCAGCAGCAGCACAGAGCCAAAACTTTGGTTTAAGGTGTTCGCATTATCTCACAGGATTGTCATCCTGATCAAACAAACATTCATCAGCTGTGGAGGAAGCTCCGTCGCATCACACGTGGATAACTTTAACTATCTGGGCCAGTTATTTCAACCATAATATGGAAGCGCGTTGCATCATCTTTCTGATGTGTTTTCTCTCAGAGCCCGGCATAGCATTTCATAACACAGCCATTTGAGGTCAGTGTTGGCCTCCACGGTCCCGGTACAGACAGATGGGGTGCATCCATACATCAGGAGGGAGATGAACAAATGAAACAAATGAAGGGAAGGAAGAATGTAAGAGCCCGACAGGAAGGAGAAGAAAACACAGAGACAGAGTGGGTGGGTACAGGAAAAGACGATGGTTTTATAATGACTGATTGCTGATCAGCGCTGTAATGACAATTGGAAGATGAAATCTGTGCTGTCTCTAAATCACACACTTAGACACACACACCTCCTCCATGGAGACACTTGACTGCTTTGACCCATTTAAGAGCTCTTTTCCGGGCTCGGCCAATCACGTCGCTCTCTGCGCCAGGAATCCCCATCGCCCCGGTAACCATGAGGTCATATGGGTAGAGCAGGCAGCATCAGTTGTTGTTCCCAAACTGTTGTTATGGAGCGGCCGAGAGACATTTAGTCAGTGGGTAAGGGAGAGAGATACAGATCTATAAACCGGTTGGTCATTGAGCGCAACAGCTGAATTAAAATGAATTCTTACTGGATGTTCATTTACTGTATTACCTCTAAGCTTCATTGATCTATGTTTCTAATTTTACTGGCCTGTCATGCTAGTAAAACACATTTGCTCTGAGCCAGTTGAAAGCTAAAGAGAGACACAGAGTGGAGTTCTGCACAGGCCTGAATTGTTAGCCTTAGCCTGACCTGGCCCAATTCATTTGGGCCCAGCTGGCCTGGGACAAACAGCTAACACACTTTTTCATCCTCTCAAAGCACTGGTTTGAGTGTAGCAGTGTCTACTGCTTCCCCTAACTGTAAATATTACTGGAAACATCATATTGTGTAGTATTTAATATCAATCGGCTCTAATGAACATCTGTCCTCACTGATACATTTGTTAGTATGCCTTGTCAGTCATAACGCTTGCGCTAATCAACATTTCTTTTATATTAACAATGAATTTAATAACTGTATAATGTGAAAGGTGTCACTCGGGAGTGAGAAGTCGACACAGAATAATCATTGGACTTTGGGGTTCTCCTCAGCTCTGCAGCGTATTTCAGCATCTTTTAGCTTGTTGTTGGAGTTTCCATTTTGTTGAATCTAATGGATAATAAATGTATTGTCTTATCTAATTTTTACCTTTGTTCAGTCCAGACAGGAGGGAATATACCATTTTCACACTATGTGCCCGGCTACAAGCACCAAACAGACAAAGTTAGCGACTGACTCTTGAGCTGCTAATTGCTCCTCTGTGCTCGCTAGCTAGGTACAGTATGTCCCTCAGGAGTTGGTGGAGACAATAAAGAGAGTAAATATTAGACCTTCATTCCTTAGGTGACCAGAAGCACAAGTCTAATTAGCGCTAATGTTGCCACGGGTCTGCTGTATGTGTAAATGGGCAAATGTTTGCTAACGCATTAGCCATTTGCAATTAATGCAGCTGTTATCAAACAAAACCGAGCCGCAACTTTGCCTTGATTCAAGAAGAACACTGAAGTAGCACTGAACAATAGTTAGTCAAATATTTGTTAGCTGGCTATTTTGAATAGGGAGTCGGTAAAAAAAAAAAACATTCTTTACACTCTCCATGGCACACAGTCCACATTGTTAGCTAGCTAACAAGTTGTGACCCGTTGGTTTTGCGGCGTGTTTGTGTAAAGCGGGAACTGCTTTGCTGCAAAGATTCGTCTCAGCAGAGAACAGTAACCACATTGTGGTGGCTCGCATAGAAGCCAACGCACACATCTCCCAAATCTCCATGACACATCGTACGGCCCTCATTGGTTGATCCAACTTCCTGTTGGGAGGCACGTTTGAAACTGACTTGATAACAGTACACCCAAAATCCATACTATAGTATAAAACCAAACGGATGCAGTTTACACATCGTGAGAAAAGGACAAGAAGTCGTTTACGTGATTTAACATTTTATTACAAACAATATTTTAGCCTTAATCCACTTGAAACCCGCAACATGCACATGAAAATGAATCCTAACTCGGCCAGAATATATCAATACCCTCGTGAACTGCCGGGCTGAGGCCGAGCTGCAGACCTCAGAGTCGGAGAATGAGACATGGACGGAGAGAGATAGAGAGAGAGAGAGAGAGAGAGAGAGAGGTAGTGAAAGGTGTATTTTCTCAGTAACAAGCTCACTGAATATCAGTTGCTCAGGATGTGTGACCAAGCATCGCAGATCAAAGCTTACACCGTGCATGGGGCTGGGCATGCCGCGACAGTCGCGTGTTTGAGTGAGTGTGTTTGTACTCGTGTGTTGTGGGGGCTGCGAGTGTACGTGTGTAGATCGTAATCTGGCACATACATGTTTGTGTGTCACGGTGTATGTGTGTGTGTGCATGCATGTGTGTGATTCTTGTTAGCCGCTGCGTCTCTGCACCACAGCAAACTGTCAGCTCACTGTAGCACTCTGAATTTCTCCTTCCTCCTTTTCTCCCATATCATCTACCCCCAGCTCCCGTCTCTCTCTCTCTCTCTTCCTTCTCCATCTCCTCCCCCCTCACTCTCTTTCTAACTCGCCCTCTTTTCTCCCCTTGCCTCTCATCTTTTGTATCTCTCCGTCTCCGTTTCTCCCTTTTCTTTGAAATTTTAATCACCCAGTAAACACGCATGCATTTCAATGTTAAATGGGATTCTGCTACAGATTGAGAGAGCTGAGGCAAGAGAGAGAGAGAGAGGGAGAGAGAGAGAGAGGGGGGAGGGTTGTGTGTGTGTGTGTGTGTGTGTGTGAGTGAGTGTGAAAGAGAGAGAGAGAGAGAGTGATCGTGGTCTCATAGTTTGTACTAAAGAGAATGATTAATCCCAGCCTTTGATTCTGCATTCATCTGTGCCAGCGTGAGTATTAGTGTGCACAGGCTTGCGTGGCTTATGCCCTGCTACACAAAGCAAGCATGTCTGCACACAGGCGTGTGTTTTAATCTCTATGCATGCACTGTGTATACTGTGTGTATATATATACACATACTCCAGCATGATGTGTGTGTGTGTTTGTCTGCAAGCGGCCATGGGCCTGTAGTGAATCCACGCTCTGCTCTGTGGGAGTGCAGGATAAGTAGTACTGTAGATGTACCACTTTTTCAAGGGAACATTATTAGCTATTTCTAAAGGGAGTTTACGCTGGCACTCACTCGCCGCTCTTAGCTGGGCCACCACCGCACGTTTTGCGCCGCTCCTCAAACACTGGATGCTCTCTGCGCACACACACACACACACACACACACACACACACACACACACACACACCAGGCTCACTCCACAGGAGCCTGGAAATGACACCTTTTGTAATCCGACTTTTAGTTTTTGAGTGCAGTAAACTTGATGAAATCCATCGTTTGTGAAGCTGCGAGGGGGAAACACCGGCTGTGTGCGGTGAATAACAAGGTGGATGACACTCAGTATGAGTAGGATGAGTTAGATCAGTTTGATACCGTTTACTATAATGTAGAGTGAAAACTATTTGTAAAGACTCAAGGTGGATTGAATATGTGATTTGATTGCAAAGTAGTAGTGAATTCTCAAATAGTGGCCTCATTTGCGATGAGAATATGGGCTTTAGTTGAAACAGCTTTAAATTATAAACTACTAGAGTTGTATTGCTTTTATCGTGATTTTTCCAGTATTTATAAGTATATCATCATATCATATTTTACAACCTACTCTTTGCCACCTGACAATACTGTTAACTTCCTCCCTGTTTCCTCTATTACATTTGGCCGCTGGTTCCGGAAGTGTTTTTTCTCCATTCTGTATTTACCATTTAGATTTTTTCTTCCAACAAAACCCTGAATGTTGCATTAAGAGGTGAAGCATATCGGATTTGCTGGCGTTGGTGAGGTTGCAGATTGCAACTAAATGAAATTTCTCTTACGAAGGCCGAAGCAAAAAGGCAAAAGTCCCTCTCTTGAGCCAGTGTTTGGTTTGTCCGTTCTGGGCAACAGTAGAAACATGGCGGCCCGGCTCCGTATTAAGACATAAACTGTTTATTCTAACTGTTAACGAAAACACTTAATTCTTATTTTCAGGTGATTATACACTAAAGAAAACATACTTATTAATAAAAAATTCCATTTCTGCCAATAGATCCCCCTAAAAGCTACACACTGTTCCTTTAACATAGAAACACTGGACTTTCCCTGATAATCATGCGGGTTTATGTCAGGTGCTTGAGCTATTTCCGGCTCTAGATACTACAATACCCATGAGCTGTTGCCATGGAAAAGAATCTAGTCTATTACAAGTGATCACCAGTGAGTTTTCTCAACAGCATACTCTTTAGATTGGATATTTCTTGCCAAAATGCACCATGGGAGTCGTAGTTAACTTCTCCCCCGGAATTTCTATGTACGCAAGCTTGTACCTTCTACTTTTCATACGATTGGAAGTATTTGTGTTCAATGAATTCATATTTTTTGAATACCTGAGTTTATAGTTAACTAAGTTAAGGCGGTTCTTTATGTTGTACATCCTGCATACACAATAAGAGAAGTCACTTCTTTATACGCATGATATACACACACCCACCCACACCCACACACACACCTTGTCACATTTCAACACTGGGATGGGTTTACACCGTCGCACTGCCTCTAAATGCTCTGCCACACTGGTAATGGGTAGCCTAGAGCCTAGAGCCTAGAGGGTAGCACAATCACACACTCTGGTGGACCCCTACTGGCAGGCGTATCTTTAGCACAGCGTCCCTCGGCGGTGCTTGTCATCCGCGCGTCAGAAAATCCAACCCCCTTCCTCCCACACACACACACACACGCACACAGGTACACTTTCAATTTCCTCCTCTTCTAACACCCTTCCATCTTCTCCTCACCCCCCCCACACCCCTCCCCCATCGCCCACCGACCCGCGAGTCGTCAACGATGCGCGCTTCGCCGAGAGTTTTTTCCCCCCACGAGCTCGTCTCGCTCCGCTATTGATCCTCACCCTTTCCCTCCATCCCTCCCCCCATCCATTCTTTCCCCCTGTCCTTCCCTCTATTCCTCCTGGAACCGGAGGGGCCTTCAACAGCAGGGAGGCAGTGGACAGGACAGCGGGGCAGGCGGGCGTCAGATGTGGCCAACACCGTAGTCTCTCTGCCTCTCTCTCTCATGGATGAGTGATGCCCATGACAGACTGCATCCTCTGAGAGCCCCTTCTGGCAATTACTACACACACACACACACACACACACACACACACACACACACACACATTCACATCAGAGACTCCCATATCACTTAACCAGTTGTCTTCAACTAAAAAGGTTTCGAGCGGAAACACTCTATGGCCTGTCCTCATCAACCTCTCAACACACACAAGCGCGTACATGGACTCTTAGAGCTCGTTGTTGATGACTATCTTTACCCACTCACATGTATGTATCGACCCACGTGTGGCTCAGTGAGATGGTGACGGGTCCTGAGCACGTAACACAGCTACTGGAGAAGCTCAAACACATGGACATGGACATGACTGTGTAAATCCACGTGTGTATATGCTTCTTTGCTTTTGCAATCAAATCAGCGACATGGGACGATATCAGGAATTATGTTTTTGGGTTTGTCCGTCCGTACCTCCGTTAGGCCCATTCTTGTGTGGATGCAATATCTCAGGAACACCCGGAGGGAATTATTTCAAATTTGGTAAAGGCGTCCACCTAGACTCTAGGATAAACTGAGCAGATGTTGGTGGTCAAAGATCAAGGGTCAAGGTCACTGTGACAGGAATGCCTTGAGAGAATTTCTTCAAATTTAGCACAAACGTCCACCTGCACTCGAGGATGAACTGATTAGAATTTGGTGGTCAAAGGTCAAAGCTATTTTGACTTCACGTCCGTACCATTCTGCTGATATCTCAGGAACGCCTGGAGGGTATTTCTTCAAATTTGGTACAAAGGTCCACCTGAAGGCAAAGATGAAATGACTTTGCGTCCGTGCCCTTCTCGTGATATCTCGAAAACACGCCTTGAGAGACTTTATCCAAATTTTGCAGCAACGTCCACCTGGACTCAAGGATCACTGATTAGAATTGTGGTCAAAAGTCAATATCGCTGTAACCTCACAAAAGATGTATCTGGCCATAACTACAGAATTGTCAAGGTTGGAGAGCAGGCCACAGTGGAGGGACCCGAATGCAGATGAATGAAGATGAGGAGGCAGCAGAAACCATGTAATGATTTAATTTGAAAACAAGCTGACAAGCTCTAGTCTAACATATCAGGCAGGAAACAGCAGGCAAGGACAAAGGCAAAGTGGCACAGAACTCCAAACAAAGCTGTAGACAAACCGACGACGAACAAACGACCAAGGAACTGTGCTGGTATAAATAGTGACTGAGCAGGGAGTACAGGGCTGACGACAGACAGGTGAAACTAATGAGGGCAGGGCAGACAATCACCAAGGCTGGAAAACTAACAAAGGCAGGAAGTCAAACAAGACACAGAGAGGAGTAAACTTCAAAATAAAAGCAGAAAACGCGAAAACTGAATGAAAAACATGAAACAAGGAAAAAACCGAAAAAGGTCAGAGGGCATGAGCCAGACGGTGACAAGAGATGATATGCTGATCATGACTATTTCACACAAATGTCCTATCGGATAAGATTATAACTTAATGATATTTTAGACAGACGTGGATGTAAACTGCAACTTGAGGCAAAGAAACTGCGAGGCGGTTGTTCGAGTATTCAAAGTTCATTGTAAACCTGCGGTACAATTGTTTTCACTGAATACCATGTTGTGTGTTCACACTACAGCTAATGTGATCAGTGATAATAATAACAGGGTTGGGCCCACATAAACATTCCTCCAAGCTAATCAGTTGACAGTTTAATATCCGTACGGGTGCAAAAACAAGTTTGTGATGTGGTTATAAAAACACGAACAAGCTGAATAAGATTAAACAAAGATGAGTAATGTGTGTGTGTGTGTTTTTTTTTTTTTTCTGGTACAGTCTGCTGTTCACAAAGGTGAAGCTGGAAGAGGCCCTCTTCGGCCCGGCTGCAGCCCTGCGGACCTGTGAAGAGATGCTGCAACAGTGGCTGAGCCGCTACGATGTCAGCCGCTCCAGGTGTGTGTGCGCCAGCCAGATGTGCGTTTTTTGTGTTTTTTTTACTGTTATGCACGATGAAGCTGGGAAGGGGGGGATGTTTGCGGCTGCGGTATTGATTACCTATAGTGTGTTAATGTGTGTGTGTATTCGGATATATCATGACCGTGAATTATAAGGTTCCATCTGTGATCTGAGCGGTTTTGAGCTTAAAAGTTGTCACATCTAAGATGGTGAAACTCATATGCACTAAAGTTCTCTATTATTCATCATCACAACGGGAACCCTAAATGTACTCTAAATATATAAAATCAACATTATATAACATATATGGCTTTCTAGAGCAGAAGCCTTGCAGAAAACATCTACAATATTTTCCTTGGAATTATCAGGTTCCATCTTATAAGGCATAACAGAAAGCAAGACTGTTTACACTCTTTCTTTGTTATAATACACTAAGTCAATGTATTAATCACGGACAGGATGTTGGATGTACACAGTATATATTTGGGCACTCATTCAGACACATGCTGTGGAATTTATACTCAAAAACAGATCTGATCAATCCAAATAAAAGGGCGTCAATTCAAGAAATGCTTCTCCATCAGTTTCTGCAGATGTTTTCTCTCCATATTGAACATTGTTCTTCTGTCTTGTCACTATCAACACCGTGTGGCTGCAGAAATCTACAAGTTACAAGCACCACAGACACGAACCCAGTTAGCAGCATGATGGTAGAGTTACAGCATCGCATCGCTGAAATGTCCAGAAACAATCTGGCTCTATAGGCCTCTGACCAAAACAAGCTAGTTTGGGGCAGAAAAAAAAGAACTTATTATAGAAAAAAAATCAAATGTATTAACATAATACACGAACAAGAATGGATGTGATTACGTACATCACAAAATAACTAAATAATAATAATTCAATTTGGATTAAATGAAATGTGGCGTTAAACTCATTAAACTCAGAATAGAGGCAGACCTTTTTTTTCAAACTATATGGCAATCGATGTCTAAATCTAAAGGTAACAACTTGTCAATGAAGTATTTTCGGAACCTTATAACTCTAAAGGTGAGTACATGTAGTGCACATCTGTGCTTGCGATTGCTCATTCTGTTTGTGCTGTGCTTCACATGTTGCAGTGAGACAGATGACAGCAGCAGCATACCAATGGCCGAACGGGCGGAGGTCAGCCCTGGACCCAGGAAGCCCTCCATCCACCTAACCCTGCCCGACTTCCAGGACGCCTCCACTGGTCTGCGCTCTCTCTCTCTCTCTCTCTCTCTCTCTCTCTCTCTCTCTCTCTCTCTGGTTGAAGTTTTTCTTAAAACACTTCCTCCTTTTTCTCTGTTGTTGGGTAAATACCTGTGAGAAAGGTGAAAGTGTGGGTCAGTCCCAATCCTTTGGCGGATTAAACCTATGTTTGCCTGAAACATTAAATATCAATGATATGACTCACCTCCTCACCTGCGTTTCTTGCAGGGTCAGAGGTCCGTTCGCTTGCCATTCGGTCCCATGAAATCTATTGATGTTCAGTATATTAACATGGAATGAATGTTTGTTTTTCTCAGAATGGCTCTCTTCTGTCATATTTGAAGGGTTTTTCAATTGAGTATAAATGTTTTACTGCCTATCTGGGACAAAACATTTTTTTCCATGTGTTTATCATTCAGTACTTGTAACATATAAAAGTATTCATTGTGTTAGTGTACACTTACAATGCTATGGTTACTGTCGCTTAAAAGGCTCCAACGGTTAGCATTTCTTATCCCTTCACAGGTTCGCTGAGCCCTTCGTCGGTTGCGGTGTCTCGTCTGGAGGCGGCGCTCTCTGAGGTGTCGGACCTCAGCTCCGTGCGTCGCCAAGGACCCACTTACATCTGGAGCACCCTCGAACGCATTTGGCTGCAGGCCGGTATGTCAACAGCGCACACAACTCTACCAACAATGTTCCAAATGGTGGGGTTGGAATCTCTTTCTACTCTTGTTTGGGGTTCACGTCAGCCAGCCACCATGCTAAAAGGCTGACTGTGAGGAAAGGTTGTTTTGAAAACTGGCAATCGACACTAATCAGATTCCATGGTTTTGTGTTTCTCAGTGTTATTAAGCTTTATGAATAATAATAGTATCTGTAAATGCAAATGCATTAGCTAGATGCTAATGTGAGCACGCCAACATGCTCCTGTGGCCATGTATTCATGTATGAACCGTAACAGCACTATTATTAGCCTTTGAATTTACTCAACCCTTCCACCACATATGCACACTGTACAATTAGCTGAGCAACATCTGAGCCGTTGGCATACTGCAAAAGTCGCAAACCTCAGATTCACAGCTGCCGATTCAGCATTTAAGGGGAAAGTTAAGGGATCGTGAACTTCAACTGCTGATCGACAGATGTACCTCTTGTTGCACCTCTTCCTATTGTGACACTATAAGTAAAGGCTTTCTGAAACCCACTTTCGAAATTTGTAAAACCTTTATTCTCTCTGTGAAAATGCAAAAAAAGGGTGATTTCACTGCTGGAAGTCAGAGACTCTTTAACAGACAGTTTCAGATTTGTAAAAGCTTTTTTTTCTATATGTGAAAATGCTAAAAAAAAAGAGAAAAAGAAAAGAAAAAGGGAGATTTCACGACTTGTTTTCACATCTAAGTCACAGTGGATCAGGTCCAGATCAAAAACCAGTATACTTGGACAAGTCAAATCCCAGATAAGCTAAAGTGTCTTTTAAAACACCGTTTTTCCTCAACAATTATCTAATTTAACCCTTAATTACTTCTATCAAAGGAAATAAGACATAAAATAAAATACGTTCAGTGTCCTTTAAAATAACATTTCTCTTTCTCTTACTTTAACGTGAGTTGCGACAATAAATACCTTCAACTAGAATCACAATTTGTATCAGGTTGAACGAACACGCATCAAGCACACACACACACCGGTATAAAATACATTTATTTTTTAACCATGATCATTTCAACACCTAGTGTTTGTTTTACTAACCAAGTCACAATTTCTTAACATTTTTTTTATTATTAAATTTAGCATCTTATTAGTAAGATGTTTTCCATGTTGATGGTCAACATTAATTCCGCGTGATAGCATGCTAACATGTGCTAATTAGCACTGAACACAAAGTGCAGCTGAGGCTGACGGAATGATGAGTAGATGAGTATTTACATTTTTTTATTACTTTAAACTGATGGTGATTCTTAATTAAAAAGCAGGGGATCAACAACATTATTCAAATTCATCATGAAGGTGATGTGAATGTCTGAACCATATTTCATGACAATCCAAGTCGTTCTGGTTGTTCTCTCAAAACCACAAATGTCAACTTCATGGTGGCTTCAGAGGAAATGCCAGGGGATTACCAAAGTCATTAGAAGAACATGTGGTGTACCTCATGGATCAATTCTTAGACCACTTACAGTTCAGCAAGATGGAAACATTGACCCCCCCCCATGTTAGGAATGACCTCATTAAAGGTTGTATATTCCAAATTGCCTCCACATAACGCTTAACATGGTGACGGCTGAGCTAGCAGCTAACGCTGCTAACAGCATGAGCATTGCAAACAACTGCGGCAGTGCTGACAGAGCTAACAGTGTTTCCCTGTGTTGGTCGGGATGACGTTATCAGCTGTTACCGATGCCGAGTAGCTAGCCGGTGGGGCACACACACTCACATGCACTTACATGCACGTGCAGCCGGACCGGCTTTGTAAACAAAGCACAGAGAAGCTCGGATTGCAACACACACAGAGGGAGTTTTTTTATGGTACAATTATGCTCTGAATTTAGAATTTAGCACCTTTAAACAAATCCAGATTAAACTAGAATGAAAATGTAGAATATCAGATGGCAACGTTTGAGTGAGAATCTTCTCCACACAGACCGTGTGCTGTGCAGATGCTGCTGAGAAAGCTGTGCTGTCTTACGCAGCTTACTGACCTGCTTACAAGCTCGGTTGAATTTCAATCTCTCTGGGGAGTGAGATATCGTTTGTGCACTCGGTACAACGTGAGCACACTTTTTCTTTCACATTCTGAGCACTGCAGTCACAGAAAGTCTCTTCGGGTCACCTATATGTGTTGGAAAACCCTGTGTGGTAACACAAGGGATGTTTGCAACCTCGTTACCAGGTAAAACGGCATCATTTAATGTGATTACTGCAGCCATTTTCGACAAACAACAGTATACATGGACATTTTAACTATTTAACAGACGGCATACCTTATGTGGGAGTGCACTCCGTACCTGCATACATGTGGCCACCGTTCTATTAAGGGCAGAAAGGCAGTGATGCATGCCGCTATTACTTCCACCCCTTCAGCCTCAGTCTGCCCGTGGAAGTTTACAGGAGAGCGGAGCATTTGCAGGAAATGAAGGGAGATGAATGCAGAGATGCTTCGCACAAACAACACTCCATCCGTCCACTCAACTGGAGTGGATGAGGCATGAGAACGGGAATGGGAATCCAACGATCCCCCCCTCACTCCGTCCCAGCATTCCTCTCCCCATCGGTCACTTCCTCTCTTGATATCACATCCTTGTCGGCCAAAAAAACCCCACAGAGGGCACAGTTAGCTGGACATAATGACATGCGCATACCTGCAAACGTATAAACGGACTGCATACATGCGTACACACATCTGATTTATTATCTTTTTGTGCCGAGAGCTCAGGTGAGGAGCAGGAAAAAGCCTTACATAACCAGAGAGCATTTCCCCGAAGTAAAGCCATGAAAAAGAGGGACCCGGAGGCTGGGAAATTGCTCTTTTTCATCTCGCAGAGGCAGCATGCATGCACTAAGTATTTCCCATCTGTGCATCTATGAGACACAGGTAAACAAACAAAACATCCGCTACCAAACACACACATGGGTTCACACGGCGCTGAGGAGCAGACGGCGCATACCACACATATATTTGCACCACGTGCTCCCTCTCTCTCTTTCCTCGTAACGCGCACGGTGCCGCCAGTGTTTGGAGCTGAATAGTTCTTTTCTCAGGGATTGCTCCGGGTGTTGACCCGGCGTCCACTCATGAGAGTGATTGACAGCAACCCTGCGTCAGCATCCCGTCCAGATATTGGTCCTCTCCGGTCCCAGGGGCGGGCCCTCTGGTCAGCTCTGTGTCCAAGTCTTATTGGACAATGACTTGCTTGTAGGCGTGATTGTGTGTGTGTGTGTGTGTGTGTGTGTGTGTGTGTGTGTGTGTGTG